ACAGTCACTCAATTTTGGATTAGTTCCTATTTCTCAGACTCCCCAGGAGTAAAAGCAAGACATAGCTTTTTCCTGGAGCCTCATGGGCATTACTACATTTTTCAGATGTAGATAAGGCAGTTACACTCTGCATTTGGAAAGTCAAGATTTCATTTATAAGGTGCTGAAGCTGGAAGGCTTTCATGTTAGGCCTGCCATTCACAATCTCCAGCAAAAGAGGAAATGGAGGGTATGTCAGCAGCAAGCAACCAAGCACAGAACAGAGACATCTCAGTTCAGTGCATATGTTCACACAGATGAGTGCTATGTAGAGATACCATGTGGGTCTGGCAAGCAAAATATTTATGTTAGCATAGCACTGCTTTCAGCAGCAGCACTTCAACAGCACTGCTCGGGCCCAGTACCAAGTTACCATCTCTTAAGTTTTCAGGTGTCTTGCAAAGGTTAAAAGAAGTCTTCACCATTTGAGTGATGACTCTTTTCTTGGGCAGTCAGGGAAGTGGGGAACAAAAATAAAATCAAAGAACATGTTTGGGGAGCTTTGATTTTGCTCCTGAGTAGATGCAGGGTGGTGGGGAACACAGCCAGACAAGCATTCAACCTCGGCCTGGCTCTGGTTAATGTATTGCCACAGGTTCACATAGAGATGACAGTTCAGTTTTGTAACCACCAGAGAACTGGTTTCTGATTCTTCCTGTTCTTTCCCCCTCTTCTCCATGGCCAATGGACCCACCTGCAGTATTTAACCAGGAATAGGCTCTTCTTAGAGATCACCTTCTTAGCCTGATGCTGAAGTCTCTGAGCAGGACACGCTACAGCTCTGAGTACAGACACTAGAGTGAAATTTTCAGGATCAAAATTCAAGGAAAACAAACACATCCATCAGTAGCAGAGCCACTAAAATCAAGTTTGTTCAGATTTATGACTTTTACATCTTCCCATGACAACAGCCACCTACAGTGATCCTAACTCTTTGCCTGTCTTCCTAATATACTGCGCTCAGTATTTCTCCCCTTACCTTTTATTTCCAGTCCCCCAGTATGTTCAACTCCCATTTCCCATTTACTCTAACCTCCCAGTTTCCAACACTTCCCTGCTTCCTAGTTAGCTGAGAAACAGGCAATACGGCAGATTTGGCAATGGCAGGCCAGCCAGTATTCATTTGCTATTCTGTAGCAGAAGAACAAGCAGATACATATGCTGCATTTGCACTACAGCCCTTCCTCCAGTAGGGCAACAAATTATGTGCTGCTGTTGATACTCATTAAACCTTTTAAGAATTTAAATCTCTTTGAGATCTTTATCCTTCTGTCAAAATCATTTGGAATTGGACATCACTGGGGAATGACAGACAGATGGTTTAATCTCATAAACCTCCTTTCATTGGCAAGCCACATTTAAAAAAAAAAAAAAAGTTCCTATTTGGAGAGTGGATCGAGGCAGAAAGACTTGACAATTTGATCAAGATTATGCAGGGATAAGGGTCAGAAGCAATGTTTAGAGTGTCTCTTCAAAATGTTAAGTGTCCTTTGGACGGTGCTTACATGTGCTATGACGTACAGACACCATGGAGTAGCTGGCTACCAACAACAGCAAAGGCTGTGGGTCTGCCACACCAGAGCCCGTAGCAGCCCAGGGGAAGGTCTGCGTCCTTCCTCACCTTCCATTCTCTCCTCCAGCTCATCAGCTTGGAGACCTTTGCTGCGGTTCAGAAAAGCAAGTCTGCTGACACAGACGGGAGCATTTCATAGACGTGAGTATTAGGGAAGTAGCTCACGGCCCTGTGTGGGATTCTGGGGTTTAGGACACCTCAAACCAGACGCCAGAATAACAAGTTTAGTGCCAGCGCTGTGTACGCCCTCGACACTACTGTCCCAGTTACTGATTCTAAAAGGTACTTTCAGCACTGCTGTGTGGAACGAAGGACCCCTAGGTCGCACCCAGCCCATCTTGACTGCTAGCGATAGTATTACCCTATTACGTTATTAATCTCCCGGAAACTTGTCGCAGTTAACGTGAAATCATTTAAGCCACTACACCTAAATGATAAATTTGTGATGCAGTAGATAAAATCAGTGCTGGCGGCTGTTGCCTCACGTTAAGTAGCAGCGTGCGCCGCTACTCGAGGCACACTGAGAGCCGGAGAGCCGTGGTCGGTGTCACAGCGGCTGCGGGAGAGGGACGCCGCAGGCCTGCGCCCGCCGTCCCGCACGGGTGCGGGGAAGGGGGCAGCCGCGGCC